GGCAGGGGACAGCCAGGGGAGCGCTCCTGCCACAGGCACAGACACTAGGGCCAGCTGCCCCACAGCCCTGCAAGGCTCTGCCCTCCCACCCAGCCCTTCAGGCTATGCCAGGCCACCCCAGTGCCCCCGTGGGACTGAGGAGGGGGGACACAAGCCCTGCCTCTGAAAGGGACTGCAGGAGCCCTGTCAGAATCCCTCCCGCTGTGCCACGTGGAGCCCCAGCCACAGAGCAGGCACACAGCAGCGCACCACCACCTCCCCCCCGCTCTTTTATCCTTCTGGGTTTTTTTTGGTTAAAAAAATAAAAGAGAGGGCAGCCCCCGGGGGGGCAGCTCCAGGCATTAAATACTCTGCTGTACATCAATAAAAGCCCAAGGGCCGGGGGCACCTGCCCCTCACAGTGTTGGGTCTGCAGTCCAGTTGGGCTGGGGGCTCTGCCCTCCTCCGCCCGTCACAGCACATCTGCCCGCTTGTCCCGCACCCGGCTCCGGGCTTTCGTGCGGGCTTTGAAGGCAGCCGAGTTGTAGAGGTGCTGGGAGGAGAAGGAAGGAGAGATGGGTTAGGGGGTGCCCCTCTGACCACCGCCCCACCAGTGCCCACCACACTCAAGTGCTCAGCTGGAGCCCACAGCAGCATGGGAGGGGACTGCAGCCACAAATCTGGGTGGCAGCACCCACCTTCTCGAAGCGGGAGATCTTGCTGGCTTTCAGAGCGGCCACATCCAGCACCAAGGGGGGCCCAAGGCCGAAGATCTCCCGTAGCAGCTCGTTGTTCTGTGGAAGCAGGGGCCTATCAGCACCCACCAGCACCAGCCCAGCACCCCTCAGTGTGGCCACCCAGCCCCTACCTGGAGGTGGTGGCGGATGCCGGAGCCCAGCACCTCTTTGAAGGCTTGGTAGGTCCGCTGGCGTGCCCAGCTGTCCAGGTACATGCACTCCAGGCCAAATCGGATGGTCTCCTCCTGGTATTCCCCGCTCTGAGCAGAGAAAGAGGGGCATCAGCAACAATCTGGGCACCAGCATTGTGCATCACCTGGCCCTCAGCAGAGGTGAATCGCCAGGCAGGTGGGCAGCAGCCGCACAGCCAGGGGCTCAGCAGGGAAGGGCACCATCAGCCTCCAGTACCTCAATGAAGCGCAGGATGTCCCTGAATATGGAGCGCTGCTTCCGTCGGTCCATCTTGGCTCGGTACTTGTTGCTCTCAGTAGCCAGGACCTTGAGCTGGGCACACAGGAATTCCGTATCTTGATGGCACAAGTCCTCCTGCCAAAAAAAAAAGGGGGGTTTGGAGCAGACGTGGTTCCAGGCATGGCCCACTGCCAGAACAGAGCTAGGGGATCACCGGGGCCAGCCCCCCTGTCTGAGCACCTGCTGGTGACGCCAGCCTGAAGCATTCCAACGCCATCAATGCCAGCTCAGCTGGGGCACGGGCAGGGTGCCGGTGCCAGCAGCTCCCTGCCGCTCTGCTGCCCACCCACCTGCTGCCTCCTGCCGCCGCAGCACCCCGCCATACCTCCACGTCCTGGGCCAGCTCAAAGACCAGTGCGATAGTTTCCCCAGCCAGGATGCGCAGCGCGACGCTGCTGCTGGACAACAGTGGGGGCAGCTTCAGCCAGTGACTGGGACAGGAAGGCAGGGAGGCAGTCAGGGTTTTTTTTGAGGGGTGGCCACCACCTCAGGGGCTCCCCTTTCTGCAGCTGACTGCCCCACACCAGCCCCTGCACCCCCCCCACCTCACTCACTTGTCCAAGATGCTCTTGATGTGGGAGGGGGGGCAGATGGTAAGGAGCAGGGACCATGACTGGAGTGCGCTGCAGTGCAGAGGGCCATGCTGGGTGGGTGCTGAGGCACCCTCATCTGTGCTGGGGGGGCTGAAAACGCTCTCCAAGCAGGACAGGCATGAGACCAGGTCCTGGAGGGGGGAAAACCTGTCTGTCAGACACAGCTGACAGGAAGACGCCACGGTGAAGCTCCACACTGGGGACCAAATGGGACCCACCCTACCCAAAGGCACCAGGAGCTCCTCAGGGCAGAAGAGACTCCTCCATCTGGGACACCCCATCTATGCAAAGAGGGCTTCCCCCTGCAGCTCAGATCCACGCTGCCCGGGCAATGGGCCTGGGCTGTCACTGATGTCCCCGTGTCCCTTCCCCGGCTCAGCTCTAAGCTGCCCTGGCACCATGGGTGGAGGGTGGGTGGCACGGCAGCCCCCAGGATGCCCTCTGGCAGGGGTACGGACAACACCTGGGCGCAGTTACCTCAAGGTCAGCAGCAGCAATGTAGCAACACATGCCCAAGGCCGTGGCACACTGGCGAGAGACGTGGGGAAAAGGCAGTCAGAGGAGGCAGTGCCAGGCCAGATCCACTGCCCACCCAAGGGGAAGCAGGGTTGCGGGGGGCCCTGCTTTACATCGCTGTTCCCCACAGCACACAATCCTGCCACCCTCCTGCAACTGCAGTGGTCCCCAAAGGCATCAGCTGGGCTCTGTCCACCAGTGAGGTGCCCCCTGTGCCTAGAAGGAAAGGGGCTGGGCCTTACGCTCTGCCTGGCGCCGGGGCTGGCCATGCTGTCTGTCAGGATGCTGAAGAGCAGGGGCTTCAGGCTGCGAAACACCTCTTCCCCCTCCGGGCTGGAGCCCATCTGGAGGCAGAGGAGGGTGAGGACAGAGCCTGCCAGCGCCTGTTCCTCCCCTTTACCTGTGGGCAGCACGATAGACCTTCCTCAGATACAGGTCATTGTCCCCACCAGCCCCAGCCCCAGTGTCCGCCTGCACCCTGACCTTTCTTGAGACACTTCTCCAGGGAGTCGGTGAGCGTGAGGCGGCGCTCCAGAAGGAACTCGGCGAGGATTTTTGAGGAGAAGGCCAGGCGCAGGCTCTGCAGTGCCGCCTGCCTTGTCTTGGCGCTGCAAGAGACTGCAGGAGGTCATGGGGTGGCCCGGGACAGGGTGGGGTGGCCCGGGACGGGGCGTGCCCCTGCCCCTGGCTAGCAGGGACGGAGATAGTGCCAGGCGTGCCCACGGGGGGTGACAGCCGCTCCTCACCTCTTGTCCAGGAGGTTGTCCATGTGCTCCTTCAGCCTGTCCTCTGTCTCCTCCTCCTGGCCTTGCTCACCCGCCGCCTCGCTCCCTGCCGGGGTGGCACCCACGTCACGGAAGTGCCCGGGTGCGAAGGCGGGGTGCCCACGGGTGGGGGACACGGCAGCAGCAGCGCCACCCACGGGGGGACACAAAGGGGCGGCGAGGCAGCCCCCGGCCTCACCTGCGCCCTCCTCGGCGGG